GCTCTTCCCTGGTTACTTGCTCTTCCCTGGTAATCGTGCCGTCTGAGAGTATGGACTAGAACATCTGTTAACAGGGGAGGAGCAAAGCAGCGTGCGTGTGTTTGGTGAAGGTGAAGCCAGGGCAACTTGCCCATGGCATGTTGACGCCATGGGACCCAGAGGAACAATACCTCCGGGAATTTCTGTATGAAGACAGTTGGCACAGTGCTTTGTCTTTGTCAGTCGAGCGCGTGGTTGTTTTCCAATCGCCATATATTTCCGCCAGCCCCCTGAGGTTGAGATCAGATCTGTGGGTGCCTGATTCTTGCACATGGCCTGCTGTTTGGCTAGTCCCGCAGCCTGGGGAAATCTTCCTTTTAGGTTGGAAGTGACCTCCGATCAGCTGACTCAATTTCTTGGAGAAGCCAGTGGCTTTTCGAGTGCCTGCCTTGCCACTTGAGCTGCTGCTGCGCAATCAGTGGCACAAGGTGGTATTGCAGGCGTCACATTTCAGCGGATCGGGACCGCAAGTAGAAGTAGCCAAAACAAAGCGGAAATGCAGATCCGCCAAAGACCCCGGCAGAGGATTCGACTTCGAAGGTTCTCAAAGAAGAAGATGGGAAAGGCCTGCCGCAGAAAAGAAAAGCTCAAGGTGATGTGGAGGATAAAGCAGGCGCGGCCAAGGCAAAGGCAAAAGCCAAAGCTGATCCCAAAGCAAAAGCCCAAGAGAAGGCAAGTTCCAGAAAGAGAAAAACTTGATCGGCCTCTACCCTATCCAAATGGTTTTGGGCAAGTTTTTTCTTGCGGGGAGTTCCGCAGTGTTGCCAAGCGGGAAGATCCGCGTAGAGCGGGTTGCACCGCCCAAAGCGCCAGTTTCTTGTAGGTAGCAGAGCAAATCTTAAGACTACCTGGGCACAACGCTCACCAGTTCAGCTGAAAAAGCGCCATCAATTGGGTGGGAAAACCTGGGCTAGAAAAGTGACGCCTGAGGTATGGCAAAAGAAACAGTTTCAGATAATCGAAGCAGTATTTTTTCATTTAGGAATGTGTAGAACCCTAAATCTCGGAATTCAACCTATTTCCATCAACGGGATGTCCCGTTTTTCAATATCAAAGTAAAATGTTTAAAACATACAGTTTTCAGCTTTTCGACCCAAACCAGGCTAGGGGAAGGACAAAGCCAATCTCACAGGGCCAGGTCGATGAGGAAACCCGTGGGGGCATCACGACCAGAAAGGAGTCCGCACAAATCTTTGCAAGGCAGTTGAAGACGGCGAAGATCCTGCCGAAAATATTATGGGAGCCATCGTTTGTCCTGATACACTGGGCACCGGTCCGGCGACAACCAGATTCTTCCAGGCCGAGCCGATTGATGCCGAACGCCTGTACCATGAAAGCCCGACATTCCGGACTGGTAGGTTGTCTGACTGCAAGCGATGTCAAGGGTTTGCGCCTTCCACTTGAACTCCGCCGCATTTGAGGACTGCATTACGGCAGGGAAGAGCGCACTCCAAGGTGCTGGTAACGGCAGTTGCGGACCAGGTGGACGTCATAGTTTGCGACGCGAACCTCTTCACTAATAGGCAGTTCAAGCAGGATCGACATTCCGTTCCAGCTACAGGATCCGTCCTTACCATTTTGGACCAGATCCTAGTTTCAGCCAATAGGCCGCGTGAGCCTCACCAACGCATTACCTACAATTTCGAGGTCTCTACGCTTGCCACAGAGCAGCTCGCAGCACTAGCCGGCAAGGACGCCGATGTAGACTGCCTTACGCAGATTGCGCTTAATTATGGCAAAGGTATGCGCACGCTAGTGACGAGGACATCCGACATTCCGGATGACAAAGGCCGTACTGGATACGATGGACCCCCGCGTCAAAAAGAAACCCTTTTGTCTGCGCAGCAGCGATCATGACTATCATCACTACCCGTGTACATTCCATCTTGCTGCAAGATCCAACGTCCGAGTCCGAAGTGATGCTTCTGCTAAATTCCGAAAACAGAAGGACAAGGAACGTTCCCAGTGGAAACAGCAAGAATGGTGGCAGTCTTCCGCTGCTTCTTCATCTTCATGGCATCAGCCTCGCTGGGATACTGGCTATAGAGGGTACAACCGACGATGGTAAATGAGGTCCAATATTGTCGACATTCCGGCACTTGAAGCATAGAGAGTTGCAATAGATTAGACCTGAATAGATCTTGAAAACTCCTTTCGGCTTTTGAACTTGAATAGACTTTGAAGCTTTCTTACAGCATTGAAAAAGACTCCGACATTACGGAGATTTCACAGCCTGATAAATTGTATTCGATTAGAATTGTACAGATTCGAAAGACTCTACCTTTTGCATTTGAACTTTAGATTGTCTGACGTCAAGATTTAACTTATGGGCCAGAATGGCATCTACGGTCAAGTTCTGCAAAGACAGAACTTTTGTGATTCATATGCACTCTTTTGTACTTTTGCAGCCGTAAGCTTCGACATTGTGTCTTTTTGTAACTTGTAGTGTTCTAGGGTCCCCCAAAACGTGCCTCGCTATACGTGTGTAGCACCTGTTGTCCGTACTTGATGGTAGATACTCTTCTTGTTGGCTTTACAACTCTTTACAGCTTAATTCATTGCTTTTGGCTCAAGACCACTAGAGCCCGCATTGCGCCACGCGCCATACAAAAGTGTACTCTCTGACGTTCGCACACTTCGACACTCCGCTATCGAGTCTATTGGGTCTTACTTGGTGTTATCGAAGTGTACTTCACTGCCACCCTGGGGAACTTACCCCTCAAGCCCCCCCAAAAAAGGCAGAAATTGTAGCTTACAATTTCGCAGGTCCCCCCACAAGAGCGTGCGAGCGAAGGCGAGCTAAGCGGCTGTTCTATCGCACAATAGGTACCTTGAGCCAAAGTATTGACGGTAACATGCGTTGCGTAAGAGCACACATAAACAGTAACCATATGTAACCATGGTTAAAGCGACAGCTCAAACAGGTGCCCAAAACCAAACAGAGGGGGGGTATATCCCTGACATATCAGGGGTTAGCGCTCAAGTCCCGGGTTCCCACCCTCCTTGCTAAAGCAAGACAGACTCCAGCTAGCTACAGCTAGCTTTTGTGATATGTCGGAAGAATATTCCAAGTGTTTCTATCTGTGGTCCCTGTGCATAAAAAGCGGCAAAAACCAGGAAACATCGGGACTGAATTAACAAGGTAGCCAAATTTTGGGAAGGCACTATAGCCTTAGTGTCTTCAGTGAAGTCTTCTCACTTTGGACAACGGTACCACAAACTTCAATGTCTCCAAGCCACCTTTGAATGCATCTTGCCATTCAAAATTAGAGGCGCTCCTTTGACACCTCCCAGTCGTGTCTAGAGTCGAGTTTCCTTGTTGTGTGAAGTGCCTCCAACAGCAAGAAGCCAAAATGCAGATTGCTTTAACCTCTACGTAGCGAGGCAGGATTGGTTCTTCTTTTTCTTCCCTTTTTGCAAAGCATTCGTTCCGTTTCTGCAACCAGTCCAATGGCCGGCCTAGTTTCAAGGTATCTCCTCCAATGTCACAAACGATCTCCTTGGCCTTCACCCCTGGCCGAGCAATCTTTTAGCAGCTTGCCTGCTTTAGTTGTTTTGTCCCCTCAAAGCCTTTTCTTGTGCTGTCACAGTGTTGTCCTTGTCTCGCTTAATCTCTTTTCCTCTAGAAATCATTGAGAACTTCAATTCAGACAATCTTGCTTGGCAGCCTGGTGGCACATATTGGCACATGAACAAAGATCTCCAGCGTGCTAAGCGTCTGTGTCCAGGTGTATTTGTCCTTGACAACGAGCCGTGTTCGGAGCAACAAACGAGACTGATTTGTTGAACTCAGTCAATTTCGACGAGGCACTGTGGTGCCCCCATTGCCAAGTGGAGGAGGCCTTGCTCAGGGGCTTGCAGCGGCTTACAGCGGCTCGCGTAGCGGGTGATTGTTGGGGTGTCTGAGTTGCCCACTCTTTATCCTCTTTATCTTCATAATTTGCCTGTTGAAAATGTAGTGCAAAGTTTCATCCAACCAGAGGTCCACTAACTTCAGATGGAATTCACCTCTTCGTAATCCTTTTCTTTGCTAGCCTGAATGAGACTGGCACACCCCAGCTTCGCCCCCTTGAACAGCAAAATCCAGATGATATTCTTTTTTCACATCCAAAAAAATATCAAACACCTTGATCTTGCTAGCTTCTTCGTCTGTGACTTCCTCTTTTTTTGCGCCTCTGAACGTGAAGAATATCGAGGACAAGTTCTATGGATCCCAAGCGATAAAAACAATATAGTTTTTGGTGTCAATGCTGCCTCACTGATCTATGGAACTCTTGATTCTTGCAATTGTGCTCATCCCCTTACTGTCAGATTTGTCTTCTTGAAGTGATCAGCAAGGATGGTTGAGCTCACGTCTGACTTGTCCAACACATGCCGGATGAACCACGTTTTTCATCTTTTCCGCCTCAACGAGTCCAGAAACGTAGACCAAAGGCAGCCAACAAACTCAACAAAAAAGACCATCATGGTAGGAAAGGAATCGACTTGACTCAGCCCGTTAAGGGGTCAAGCTCGGCCTCCTCCATCCGCTTTCGGTACTCTGCTTCATCCTTGTAGGAAGGACTATTGGAACATGCAAAAACCGCTTCAACCTTCAATCTGTAACCGTTGACTTTTCGTCGTTCTGTCCATCTTACTCGCCTGTGAAGGAAATGCAAACACGCATGGTGAACCCAAATGTCCCAGGTGTTTGTTGCTTAAACTACAGACTGTGTGCGTGCCAAGACTCAAGAAACCAACCAAAGGCTTCTCTCTGAAAAGTAGTGGTGAACATGCCATTCGCCTGGTTTCGAGAAAGTGCTCCGGGCCTTCAGCTTCTTCTCGTCAGCTTTCCTTTTTCTCTCTTCATCAGCAGCTCGATTGCGCTCCTGCTGCTCCTCACCGTTGACCAAACAGATCGAAACAGTACTGTAGGTGTTGATAACATTTAGCATCAGCCTCCTGTTTTTGCCTGCATGCCTGGAAGTCACATCCCGTTCATTCCCACCGGCGAAACAAATCACAGTATCGCCCAACTTTCACCTGCCGCTTCTTCTGTCCAACCTTCCAATGTTTCTTGTAGTACCTGGTACTTTAGATCTTGCACAAAATGGTACAAGGATTTGGCGCAAAGAAGAGTGGGATTAAAACGTAGAATGCAATGCTCATGCGCACTTGAGCACCATCTGTTCAGCTGCCTAGGAAAAATGGAAACCTTCTCACCGAACTTTGTGCACCTTTGGAGTTCTCACGCCTGCTCATCCTGCGCCCCGGTGAAAAAGTCTGTCTTCCTCTGCAAGAAACCGAAGAAAGCGTCCAGGATGCTGTCGATGGAACCCGACTGGCAGATCTCTGAAGTTCAACCCAAAGAACGTGACCCACTCGAGAGGCAAAAGGAACCAATTGAATCACTAAACATGGCAAAACCAAATTACAGGCCAAATGAACATGACAGTTTTCCACCAAGATTCATGGTGCCTCATTTGTTGGTCCGCCCACTCTTTTGATCCACAAAACGTGCAGGGACGAAGTAAGTGGCGCACTTGCAGTGTTGACTCTTGGCCTTCAACAGGACGCCATCGAACCTCTCGTCACTGCCCTGTACACACGTTGCTTGTCACCAAAAACCAGGCTGCAGAACAGTACTCGTACAACCACCTCTCAAAAGGCAATTGGGCCTCCGCCATGTTTGACAACTATATGAAGGATTCTAAACTTGAAAAACAGCGGCAGTTTGTCGGTTGCTTTGAGAAAGGGTGCTAAACCACTCAAGCATAGGCATTCGAAACCCATATCTGAACGAACGGAATGCATATGAATCAACTGTCTTGTGTTTCTTCTTGACAGTGGGGATTCATTGCGGAGCGCGACAACCAACGCTCACAAGAAAGCAGGCCAAATATTTTTTCGCCACCAAGCAACCCCTTCGGCAGCAAACTGAACACGCTGCTACCTGGGCCGCTGTCACGCTAAATTTGTGTGACAGGAGCAACAAGCCCAGTGGGCCATTCTGACCTCTATCCACTTCATGTAGATACAATGTGAGATTGAACCTGCAAACTTATCGTTGAGTATGATATAATCGAAGGCAGACTTTTTCTAGAGCATTCACGGCCTAGCGGAGTATACTGTGAAACCTGAGTAAGATTCAATAGTCTAATAGTCTAAGTACTCCTCCTTTGGCGGCGGAGTTAATGCTGCCCTTCTCCTTTTTCTCACGCTGTCAATCAGTGATGAAAAATTACCACCCTTGGCTTCGTGCAATTCTCGCAGCTTCACTCTGTCACCAACTCTGTTGTAGAACTCGCTAACATCTCTAAGTTTCGACACCTCTTCTTTTGCCTGCAATGAAGTTCTGGCTCTCAACGTGTCCATCTTCTAATCAACATCTATTGGTCCATCCGTTGCTTCTCATTCTCCAATCGCTCTCACTGCTGCTGCACTGTCATATCAACGTCATGATCTGGACTCTCTGGTCCTTCAACTTCTACTTCTGGTTCACCTGGTGGTTCCAATGGTGGATTCTTGGCGCCAGTTTTGCACTCAAATATTCCACTGGAATTTCCACTTCTCTTCCATCGTCCAGTAGAACTGTGGCTGTCATGCCACTCCTCTCTTCATTTCCTCCCCGTTATGCCCCTGCGCCATTCCTGTGTGATCGACTTCTCGTCTCCTCACAATTGATTCACGTATCATGAGTCTTTCTGCAATCTTTTCTTGTCCCCACTTTTGATTGCCCTTCTCAAGAAACTTCATGCGTCTCTCTTCTTCTGAGGTCAACTCTTCTTGTTCCACATAACCGTTCTGTTTCACTATGGCTCTGTGAAGGCGTTGACAATAATCATCTCTCATCGAATCAAGTTGCCCTTGATTGACCACATAGGACTTGAAGGCGAGCCTTGCTTCCTCAATCTCGCCCTTCGCTGGCTTCAATCCTAAGATCTGAAATCTCAAAGCAAGGTCGTTTTCTTCCATCCTCTTCTCTTCTTGTACTGCTTCCAGATCAAGAATACACCAAATAGAACTACTGCCATTGCACAAAGGATCACCCAGATCCATGTCCTTGATGAGTTCTCCTGCTGTGCCACTGACCCAAGGCTGCTTGCCAACATAATCTTATCACAGGGTGTCCAGTCCCATGAAGGCAATAGTTTCCTGACATCAAAAGCCTGTGTGTGGTAACAAAACTCTTAATGGCAATGTCCGTTCCGATGGTTTCATTCAACAATGCCAACTGAGGCTGACGCGTAAACACCTCACGCTTCACCACATCAAACAAGCCCGGATCGACCGGGGCTCTGGAACTAGCAAGGTCTTTGGCAATCTGGTCGGCGATTCGATTGCAACGCAAGTGCCTTAGCGGTATGCCTAATGAAGCCGCAACTGCCTCAAACCAAGTTTCTTCCCTGTGGGCGCTTTCAAGGCACTGGGAGTTTTGGCTGGGCTGCCTTCAAAGTTGGGGAAAAAGCATGTGCCTATGGTAGCCTGGCGCAAGTAAAGGTTGGACCAGGGCAGTGATTGATCCAGCAATGGGTTGACCTTTGGCACCCACCCATTGTGATGGCACTCAGACTGATAATTGGTTTCAGGGGCACTACCAGCATTTTGCTTTAGGCAGTCACCGGCAGCATTCAAGGCATCTCTTTCTTGAGCCACCTTGAGCCAATGCTAATTAGGATGAGGACCTATACGCTAAACAAATATAACATTGTAGCATATATATAGTACTTTTTTTTATCAGTATCATATATACAGTAGCAGGCGATCAACTATTTGTCATTTGAATGTTGGTCCTGGTTTGTTTCCATCCGCGCTAGGATTGAATGTCTTTTTTGCTTGCAAGCTGAAATTTTCTCCTCAAGTGCATGAAGTTTCCTCTTCATGCAATGGGCCCCCCTCAAAACGCTCGCCAGGTATTCTGGTCTGGCCCGGGCAAGAACAAACATTTCAACCGTTTGGATTTGACTTGTCGCATTGGGCCTGACTCCCGCTTCCCGTGAGACAGCGAGGGAAGACTGACTAGCTCTGACTGCCAACATGGCAGCTGAAAACAAGCCCTGGGCAAACCTGTAGTCGGAATCATTGTAAAGTCTAGTGGTGGTTTCTTCTTTCTTACCAAGGTCTGTTTTCATGTGACGGTGTGAAACATACCGGACCTTCATCTCCACGTTTCGGGCCTGAGCACTCAAAGAAACACCTCCCGACTTGCGCTAAATGATTCTAGGCCTAGGTTCCAAACATCCTGTGGGTTTTGGCTTTTTCAGGTGAAGAACTTGCCCTTCAACGAGAAGACAAATTGAATCTCAATTCAACCGAAGGCTCCCGTAATCCCAGCGTTCAGCTCCAAGCTCACAGAAAGACAGCGTCGTCTGGTCTGGCGAGGTCGACGACGATGAAAAACAAAACAACACACAACGTGTTCAAACCAATGCAAACCTTCAAGTAAGCTTAGCTTCAAAAACAAAACCTTGTTTTCACCTTCACACCAAAAGGTCGAAGCGTTGGTCGCATTGACTGACACAACGGTGAGAAGGGGAGATGCGTCAAAAGTCTCGATGCTTGATGATAATGTCAATTAATTCCCGCCTGCAAAAGGGCACCGCAAGAAAGGGAATCCATCGGGACCGGTGTTTGCTGATTCACATTTGCATAAATCGGAGGCTTCGTTCTCCGGCAGGAAATTCTTTTCAGTGCATACGCGGACCACCGCTACATTTGTAGTCAATGTCCCATCATGGCCTCCCAAGATCATAAACACAAAAAACCCCTTATGGCTTTGACATCGTTGAAAACCTTGCCTGCGCTCAGAGAGAGAAAGCGCTGGGCCATCCACAAGACATCTGGGGGTCAGCGGAGGTGAGGCGAACGGCGCAGGCTTGCGCCGCGGTGGGGATGGGAAGCTGCCATCAAACTCATCACGCTCTTGCTGTAGCCGCGCCATCTCACGCTGCACTTCGTCTCTCACGGCGGAAGACATTGCTTATAAGGCTTCGCAAGCCTCCGCCAACTTCGCCAACCGCAAAAAATTATAAACGCTGCTGAAAATTGCTGCTGATAACCGTTTGAATCAGCCCTCCAATTCATGACACCGCGTTGCGTGACATCACAGGAGTTGGATATCCTCACAACATTTGGACCTTGGAGCAGCTCCGTATTTTGCTGGACTCCGCAGCATGAGGAGAGCACCGAATCTCACCGTGTGAACAAATCACATGAAAACAAGAGCCAAACTCATTGACAGCTACCACAAGGAAGATACATCACACATCATAACACATGTCAGTTCCAACTAGAGGCGCAGGCTCCCCACACTGGCGCTCAGTCCATTCAGAGCTGAAGCGGCTTGTTTGCCTGCAGTTCCAGTGCCTGCTTGCTTAGAACATGCGGCTTCTGAACCTGGCTGCAAGCATGCACGCGGTCAAAAAGAAACCTGAACACGGTCATCACGAGGTGGGAGCTTTGCACAGCTTTGAAAGAGTTGCGAAAGAAACTCTTGCAATTCACAGCGTTCGAAGTGTGAAACGTGCGCTTGTACATGTGTCCGTTTTGGACTTTGACCTGGAACTCGTCATTGCCGTCAGAGTTGGACCGGGAAATCTCGCTGTATGAGACCTGGTAGGTGGTGATCCGCTTTTCGCGCTCCAACTTGACAAGGTATCGGTATAGCGTCATTCAAGTCGGGGTTCATCGAAGACATATTGATCACATGCTTTCCCTCAGAAGCACTGTCCACTGGCTCGACTGGGATGTACCCGTAAAAAACATGTCTGGCATCTGGTCGGCAAAATGAAATTGATAGAACCCGAGGGGCTTTCCAGTTCCATAGTCCATAGCCCCCGATCACTGTGAACTTCGGGACGATGCGGGCACATTTTTTGCCGCTAGATGATTTCAGCTGCACTACGGAGGCGCAGCGTGCAACAATCTGGTCAGCCTGTTGGAGAGCCTGGAACGAATCGAACACCTTCATCTCATGAAAGCCCTCACGAGCGGTCCTCTTTTCGCCACCGTTTTGAGCGGTCTCAACAACAGCCACATCGGCGGAAGCAGGCCCATCAGACGATGATTGCAACACTAAAGTCAGAATGGATTCATACTTCTCTGTGTGCAGAGCTTGGAGCTTCTCGAGCCTGGCAGAGCTTAATTACTGCGGCTGTCATGCAACACAGCCTCAAAACATGATTCCGCTAGTCTGAGATGCTCAGTGGCAAGAGTTCCCCCGGCTTGGGACCATTGGCGCGTGGAGTCTGGATGAATCTTCAAAGCATTCCTGCGCCGAACGACCACCTTGAGATCCATGGCCTCAGGGGCATCCAAGAATTTGTAGCCTCCTTCTCCTTTGGAGGTCTCTCCGCAGCAAAAACCCCAAAAGAAGGCGTGAATGGTTTATCATGAGCCAAGATTAGGTCAAGGCCTGACACATATCAAAACTTTTGTACACGCTTTACACAAATCCCAGTTCAAATGAGCATCACTCTGAGCCAATGTTGGGTCCGCATCGTTGAACCGGATCCCCGCGTACTCGATCTTCCCCACCCACAATCCATAAGTTCACGGTTCAAGCGGGTCTTCCCGTACTTCATGGTCTCGGGGCTGTCCAACTAGTAGAGCCGCTTTAAGTCGACGCGCCCACCTGTCCCACTCATGCTCCCCTGCACTCGCAAGTCGACAGCCTTGCTTGGCCCACACAGCGCAGTCATCACAGTGAAAGCGCGTGCAAAACACACAAAAACAAAACTGAACATAGCCTAAATGCATGGGAAGCTCAACAAACTTGACAGAATCAGGGCGAGCCACGGCCAAGGCACAATCCTCAACATACCCAGACAAGTTGACCATCAGAACAGCTTCAAATTTGCAATGACGCAGCGCTGCCTGCATCTCAAGCCTTTTTGAGCAGCCACTTGCTCGCTGCTGGGTCGAAGCCGCTCCAAGATACGCACGGAATCCTTCGGGAACAAAACCAGCAGAAAAACTGATGTATTTGATGTGATGATGTGACCCAAGAAATATTATTGCACCTGTGGCTGGCCTGGTTGTTGAAATTTTTGATACATCAGAGGTACTATCAAAGGTCCTTCAACTCTCCCGCCAGCGCCATGTTGCAAGAGAAATATTGTATTTCCACGAGGCCGTGCAAATGCGCATGGCA